CTCAGTGTGTAGGACTACTCTTTCTTTGTCATATACACACACATACACACAGACTCACAAACACCTACACACCTACACACCCACACACACACACAACTACTTCTTTTACCTACTTTGCGGGGACCAATAGGAAAATGTTCACATCTTAACGTTCAGTATACTTTCAGCTAGAAAAGCCATTCTGGTATCAAAATGTTCAGCTCTTCAAGGCTATTCCTACTTTATTGCATCTCATCCTTCAGAATATTCAACAAAGAACTTCAGCCATTTCTTAACTATTTCAACAAAGAACTTCAGCCATTTCTTCTCGCCTTTCAGCTGTTTCAGCAATTGATTTCAGGCATTTTCAGGATGATCTTTCAGCTTAGATGAAGAGATGATCACCTGGCCAGTTTAGCATACTTACTAGCATCACACACACGGGGGGGACTGCAGCCCAGACCACCCATTGTTCAGCGTCCATGGATCAAAGAAACACACACCTGGTTTAGATCACATTTCAGCAAGCAGGCGCAGCCAGGGGTAGACCTACTCACACCAAATGGCCAACAGGATTACGAAGTGTGAAATATTGCCCAGGGTGGAGCAGCCCAAGAAGATAAAAGTATTGTGAAAACATAACTCATGGTTCAGAGAAAAGAATTCCTGCGGGAGCTCTGTCGCTCTGATCCCAGCGTTGTATGGCTTCACTTGTGCCCAGACTTCGAGTAAACTTTATGTTGATTTTAAACAGTCCTCTCCTGTCTTCACTTCTTGCACTTCCAACAAAAGAATTGGGTTAATTCTAACACTGTCATTTTAGTTTTAATTAGTTTTAGTCACATTCATACTCTTTTTAGTCTAGTCTAGTTTTAGTCGACAAAAACTGATGACATTTTAGTCTAGTTTTAGTCGACGAAAACTGATATGACATTTTAGTCTGGTTTTAGTCAGCGAAAATTGATGACATTTTAGTCTGGTTTTAGTCGACAAAAGCTGATGACATTTTAGTCTGGTTTTAGTCAACGAAAACTGATGAAATTTAGTATAGGTTTAGTCAATGAAAATTGTATTTTAGTCTCTGTTTAGTAATGTAACTCTATTTAACCCAGTCAATAGAGTATAAGTATCTAGTAGTATAGACGAAACCAAAAGTTTCTTTTAGCCAAACCTATTTCAAACAAGGTTATCTTATTATATTATTGTTACCTTACAGTCAATACACATTCTGTGTGATTTTGTGGCCGCATTTCTCCCCATCTTTTTCCACAACAAATTCAGTTTTCTTTTCCACTTCTAATTAAAGTTTTTTCAAATGTTTCTTCTTTTTCTTCCAATGACGAACCCTGGCTGGCCAGCCATCGGTCCCTTTCTCTGTCAGACTTAACTTTGTTTTGTCATCTTCTAAATAATGCCGCAAGTGGGGCTTAAGGAAGTGACGTCGCCTGCATCTGTGCAGTGTGACCTGATGCGGCCCCTGAAGCGAGACACAGGAAACAGAAATACTACGAGATGAAATAATGTTATAACATTTCATTTTGTCTCGTTTTGGTAAACGAAAATGAAGAGACATTTTAGCATAGTTTTTATTTTGTAAACCACATTTAGCCTCTTTTTTTCATCAACAATATTGCATTATACATTTATAGTCATCGTCACATTACCAGCATTTTCGTTGCATCTCGTCTCGTGTCCGTCACCTGATAAAGGTTCGTTGACAACGATATTTAGTCATAATTTTCGTTGACGAAAGAAACACTAGTGAAAACAGGATTTTGGAGTGTTTTGTAAATGTATTAAAATAAAAGAGTGAAATATCCCATTTACAGAAGTATTCAGACCCTTTATTATGACATTTGTAGACCTCTCTCTGGTACACCCTGCTCCTATCAGTGGTTGTTGAGATGCTTCTACAGCTTCATTAAATTAGACACAGATGGACTCTAATGTATTACAGATATAATAAGGAAAGGCACCCGTCTGTTTATATAAGGTCTCACAGTTGATGGTGTATGTCAGAGTGAGAGCAAAGACGAGGTGGAGAGAACAGTTCACAGACCTGCAAGACAGGGTTTTGTCAAGACACAGATCTGGGGAAGTAGAGGACATTTCTGCAGCACTGAAAGTGGTCAAGAACATGGAAGAGAATGAAATCCAGAGCTCCTTTCTGGAGAAAGGAGAACCTTACAGAAGCACTCCCTGCAGCAGAGCACTCCAATCAGGCCTCTAAGGTAAAGTGGCCAGACAGAAGCCATTCCTCACTAAAAGACACAACAGCCTGCTAGGAGTTTGCTAAAAGGCACCTGAAGGACTCTGAAAGCATGAGAAGCAAAATCCTCTGGTCTGATAAAACAAAGACAACTATTTGAGCACAATTTCCAATGGCGAGTGTGGAGAAAACCAGGCACTGAGCATCACCTCATTAATACCATCCTACCGTAAAACACAGTGGTGGCAGCATCATGCTGTGGGCATGGTTTTCTGCAACTGGCACTGGGAGACTAGTCAGGACAGAGGGAAGGATGGATGCAGAAAAACAGAGAGCAATCCTGAGTGAACCTTCTTCAGCGTGCTCAGGATCTCAGGCTAGGGCGAAGGTTTACATTTTAACAAGACAATGACCCGAAGCACAAGAACAAGGAAGGAACCAAGGGAACAAGATTGACATCAGGAAATATTAATGTTCCGGAGTGGCCCAGCCAGAATCTGGACCTAAACCCAGTAGAACATCTTTGGAGAGACCTGAAAATGTCTGTGCACCAACACTCCCTGTCCAGCCTGGCTGACATTGAACAATTCTGCCAAAAAGAAAATTAGAAATTTCCAGAAGAAAGGTGCCAAGCTTGCAGCTTTGTTCCCAAGAAGACTTGAGGCTGTCATTGCTGCCAAAGGTACTAAGTGAAGGGTCTGAATACTCATGTAAATGGGATATTTCAGTCTTTCATTTTTAAAGAATTTTCAAAACATTCAAAAAACAGTTTTCATTTTATCATTGTGGAGTATTGTGTGTAGAATGCTGAGTAAAAAATGAATTAAATTCATTTAAGAGGAGTCTGAAACAAACTTGAAAGGGTCTGAAAACATTCCATACTGACTGTACTTAACCCAGTTATTCAACCCGTTTCTAACTATTTATCTGAGTACTGAAACAAATGTTATCGTAGCCAGTCAGTAAGCTGCACAGAGTTGAGTTCTAAAACAAAAGCCTTTAACCTCTGGAGGAACTGACCAGTATGTCCCAGAAGCTCCGGCGGGTGCTCTTGCCAGTGGGTGTGGTGGACTCGGGCGTGGTGGTCCCTGTCATGGGGGAGTTCCCCGTGGCTTGGGTTAAGGTGATGGGAGAAGGGCTGGTTTTAAAGGCCCGTGAGCCACTGCGCTGCCTCTGGCTGTCCTTCACTTTCATCTCAGGCAAGGGAATCAGCCCTGAATGTG